TTATATATATTTCAATAATCAAATAAAATTGGAAAATATGCTAAAAAATAATTTTCTAAGTACAGGTAACCCCCGTATAACATGGCACTTCTATAGCACGGATTCACTCTTAACACGGTTCGAGAATTGGTACCATCCCCCGTATAACACGGTACTTTTATAGCACGGATTCACTCTGACACGGTTTGAGAATTGGGTAAAACCCTCGTACAACAGGAAATGTAATAAATTTTTACATACTTAAGTAATAATAGTTCACGAAAATTATTATTTTCGTGAACTATTAGTACTTAAGTATGTAAATTTTCTCTTCTCGCCTTCTGTCGATACACGTGGTCCTTCTCGAAACTTGTTTCAATGTTGCCAGATCGCGACGCTTCTGCTTCTGATGTTGCCGAATGTTTTTCCCTTATTCCATACTTGCTTTATTCTTCATAAGTGCTTAGCACCATATAAGGAAATTTATAAAGACCTTTTAACTAGAAGCAAGCAATCTAAAATTACATACATTTTGCAAAAGGTAAAGCATGGATCTGAAGATAATGCAGAAAAATGCTCAGAGGATAAGGATAACTTGCCAAAAAGAAAACGCTCTCGGTTAATTAATAGTGTTTTTAGTGATGACGAAGAAAACATTGTTTAATTTATATTAATATGTATCACTTAAAAAAATTTTAATGAAGATATTTATCTTAATTATGAAAATATACTAGCATGATTTTTAATTTTTGGAACCTAACCCTCCTTTTCATATTAGTTCTTTGTTTCGTATAACACGGCAATTTTTTGGAACATAACTACCATGTTATACGGGGGTTACCTGTATTGCTATATTTTATGGTAATCTTTATTCTTCTGTTCTATTTAACATGTGCAGAGAAGTGACTGAGCACATGGTCAACATGTGCTTACTCGCTTCCGATTGTGATTGACAAATAAAAATCTATAGCAGAATGATACTGACAAACTGTTGGTTTACAACAGGTTCCAAGTTAGAGTATAGATGATGGATATAATGGTTTGAATTCACTCAATATGACACCACCAAAGTGCAAATTCCGAACTGATTGGTTAAAACGAGAGGATGCAGATTGTATAGTAGGATTATGGGCACAACTGTACATTCAGACACTGACATATTTTGCAAATTATGAAATTGCATAATACAGGCGAGAGAAGGTTTTCCAGCACTTTTTGATCGTGGAGGTACTGCAAAGCACAGACAAAAATTTACCTGTGCTTTTATGGTCCAAGGCAGTTACACCTGACATTGGTTGTATCACGTGATAGTTTCCCAGGCCTGTCAAAAAATGATGAAATTCCAAGTAATACTGACAATGTGACTGGAGAAGGATCGGCAACTGTGAGTTTATATAATCCAAGAGATGCTGCATACCACACAGAACTTGTATGGGTCTTGAAAACAATATGTAGTAATTTCTCATTTGCATTTGCATGGTTCCAACACTACAAGCAATGCTTCCATAAACTAAACTTCCTGAAGGAGTATCAATGAGTGAGAAGAAATTGTGCTATTTAATAACTGAAGCATTGACTACCTATTTCCAAAAAAAAAAAAAATGCTAGAAGCGGCCCACTTTTCATTCTTTGCTGGTTTCATTATAACTAATTGTAATGTGGAAAGTAAGAAAGTTACAAATAATGATTAGGTTTTGGTCTGAGCAAAAAGAACAAGTTGTCTGCAGACACTTAAATACATGTTTTTTTGGGCAGGCAGATACAGAAACATTGCATACAGTGACAGATTGGCATCATCGATAGCTTTGATTATGTCAATCTCTCACTGCACAAACTTTTGATGATAGGATCAGATGGTTCTAATGTTAACCAAAAAGTGTTAAAGATTTTTTTAAGGAAGATGTACTGGGAATTTGCAAGAAAAGCCTTGTTGACATTGGAACGTGTACAATTCATATTATTCATAACGCATATCTAAAAGCATTAAGTGAACTGGTGAAGATGCATCAGAACTTATAGTGGTAGTTTACAGATTTTTTTGATGGATGGCCTGCTCGGTGGGAAAGTAATGAATCTGTGTAAGAAAAGCTCAAGTTCCCCAAGCATAGATTTATAAAACACTCAACAACACTGCTGACATTCATGATTCAGCATCAAGGTTAATTGAGCAGTGAGAGGGCATAACTTACTGTTACTTAAAGTACGTTCCTTCAAGTAAACAAAGCATAATGTCATGTGCTTTGTACAGAAGTATATCTTGTTTATTGAAGATTCCTTCCATGAAAGCAGAAGTACTTCAAGTCATTTCAAGTGCAGAAATTTTCACAAAATATACATAATTTTTTCATATATATATATTGTAAAGTACTAAGTTATTTTTACGCCTTTTACAACGATTAGCAACATGACTTTGTGCCGGAAATAGCTGTTACCTAACAGGTACTTTACATGGATTCACGTTAATGTGCCAGGCCTGGACTTCAAGTGTACACCGAAAGAAATAATGACAAAGTTAGTCAAAACCAGTCAAATATTTAATAATTCTAATAATGATTATGTACAAAAATTAGTAACAATCAAACAACAAATTTATTCAAAGAAAATCAGTAAGAATCAACCTAACAAAACTCAAATCAATCTATTTGCTAACTTAAATCTATTCCCCTTTGGAACTCGACAAAAAATTCAAAGACTTAACTTATGTACAACAATTCTTATGAACTAAGGTCCTAATCGTCACCTCAATATACTGGGAACCTTTTTCCTCAACTCTCAAGACTTTCTAATCTTCGACCCACAAATCGAATAACTTCAAATCGCCTTGGAACCACTTTATCGCTATCGGACATCTCTTGTCATTTGCTGCTATGAAGCTCACCTCAGTCATCTTCAATTTAGGTTCAGACTTTAAACTATGAGGTGATGTCACAATTCTGATTGAGATCACTTCCCCCATTTACATACTTATCTCTAACAGTTAACTTTTCCCTTCTGCCTGGCAGCCTATTTCCCGACAATACTCACTTAACATTTTACATTATTCTTTTATACGATTTTTCAGGATGTTTTCTTCTTTAAGGTTTAGCAAGTTCCTAATTTGTGTTTGTGGGGTTCCCCTTTCTTTCTTGGTGCAGACTTACTTTTTCTGCTCAGGAGCTCAAGTGTGCGCGAGTTTTTTCTACGGTGCTTTTTTTTTTTTCTTTGTGAGTTGGTTCTCTTTCTTCTATTTTTAAGTTTCTAAGGTGAGTGGTGAGGAAACCTTTGTCCTAACAAAACATAAGCCCCAAACAAAAATAGAATAAAAAGCAAAATAAAAAATAACTAAAAATAATTCTCAGACTTGGTTCCTTACAATATTACAAACTTCAAATAGAAGAACCTATAATACATCTCTTGTACAGCAAACTGTGGGACTTGCTTCTGAAGCTAGTTACTGGAATTTACTAGTAGTAGTTTTTTGAAGTTTCTGTTTCAGTCTGCTATTCCTGATAGTAATGTATTAAATCCAAAGAAATTATTTGACAAGACAAATCTTTTGCCATTAGAGGAAATTATTTGCAGTGCTGAGGTTGCCAATGAGTTGAGTAAATTATCTGAAAAAAATCAATTGCATTTTTACAGTTTCTTACAGAAACACAATGTTGTGGCTTCCACATATATGATAGAAAAAGCTCCAATTCAATGCAAACTGTTGAAATCATTGACATGTCTTCAGCCAAGTAATATTTAGTGAAAAAAGTACTTATAAGGACATTGTAAGCATTGCAAGAACTCTTCCGTGTGACATGGCTGATGATACTTTGCAAGACGAGTGGCAGCTACTTCAATTTGAGCAAGTTGAGAGTGATTGGACAGACTCAACAGATGAGAGAATCAATTATTATTGGAGTCAGTATTTTAAATTGGTTGGCTTCCTTGGGAATGCAAGATATCCCAGTGTAACCAAATTGGTGAATCAGCAGTGATCCCCTCTCATGGCAATGCTGATGTGGAGTGGGGATTTTCAATTTCACGCTGGGCACTTCCTCTTGATAGAGCATCAATATCAGAAAGAATGCTTAATTTACTTTTGATTGTTAAGGAGGGAGTAAACATGTATGATCAAAGTCCACACCTTGTACCTATAACGAAGGATCTACTGAAATTAGCTGCCTCAGTGTGCACAAATTATTGAGAACAAGTGGAAAATGAAAAAAGTTAAAAGAACAAGATAAACAGAAAAAAAGAGCAGAAGAGGAAGCACAGGAACATTTTGAAGAACATCAAAAGAAAGCTGTTGTGACAAGGAAAAGATTATGGCACTGCAGCAGAGTTTAAAACAGAAAAAAGTAGAAGAAAGTGACAAATACAGGCCAGGTTTTGTTAGAAGTTAACAAATAAAAAACTGGAGAAGGCCATTAATAGCAAGAACATGAATTGAAATACGGGCAGCACATCATGCTTATAAGTGTTAAGTGTTTAAAAGCAAGAGGAAGCAAAAAAAGAAGCTGAAAACATCCAGAAAAATCTTAATAAAAGAACATCTTTCATGACTGATTTACACAAGAAGCCAGTCTTGTTAAGTATTCATGGTTTACTGGAAATATTACAGTATATACAGAAAGTTTTAAAATGTGTTTAAAAAGAAAAAACTTTTACTGCTATTTTGCTGAGTTTTCCTTTGATATTTTCACTTTGTCACTATTGCAGTCACTTTCTGTATTTTAAGAGTGCCATTTTCCCTTTGAAAAAGTGAGTGAGGCCTGCAACTGGATTCCATTTTAAATAAACACTTCCATACTTTATTTCTCCAGCAACTTTTAATGTCAATGTTTGTGATTGAAGATGAACAATATATTAATATATCAAAGCATTAACATCTGACATTAAATATTGGAGAAATATTTGGAATTGTTTGATTTTAAATATGTAACGGAATTTATTTTTTATTCTATTAGAATTGTTCTTTTCTATTTGGTGACTTAAACTATTTTTTCTCTTACAAATTTTTAATAAACACAATATTCAATTTTTTTTTCTAGGTTGCCAGTAGTTCTCGCAATTTTGTCAGACCACTTAGTTCATTCATAGTAAACAAGCCAAGGGAGGAGGTAAGTAGTCAGTTTTAAAGTTAATCCATTAAAATGACGTGTTTTAAATGGTGTGATGTATGGAATTCATTGCAGCTTTAACCCCTTCATTCCCGATCATTAATTAAATTGATATAAGATTAATATTAAAATACATTAAAAATACTTAAAACTGAAAAAAACGAAAGAAATGCGTTAATTTTGAAGAAAAACCTTCAAATTTTATTTTCCTTTGTTTCGCCTTTCTGTGAAATTTAACACTGATGAGTCATTGTTTACACAGCTGGAGTTGGATTTCCTGGGACATTCTCATAGACGTCTCGGGAGGACAAGGGTTTAAAGTAGGGTGAATATAAGCGACACGGAAATTTTTAAATATTTTTAAAAAATTCAAACTTTTATTGCGATTTCCGACCCCCCTAATTAATTAATTTTATAATAAAAAAAAATATATTAATTTAAAAAATTAAAAAAACCATTGGAGGTCGTTTTTGACATCAGAAACAAACTTTAAATAACTTTACTGAATGAAAATCCGTGCGCTACAACTTAGGAACCATGAAATAAAATTGATAAAAAAACTCCTATTAAAAAACAATTAAGCCTTAATCGAGCCTTCACATAGGCTCATTAAAATCGCGATAAAATTTTTTTGCGCGGGAAAAAAATTTTGAAAAAATTTGGGGACCTAAAAAACATTCCAAAAATTAAAAAAAAAATTTCAAAAATGGCCTTAAGGACCACATTTTTCGTAACGCTATGTAGGCTTGACGTATATATACGTCAATGGAGACTGAGGGGTTAACTGTGATCAAAGCATAGAGGGGTGATAGATCCTATCTGCACTCTGGATAGGGAACTCTTTTCAGTATATTTAATACTTGTGTATTTTTTCCTTTAGCATATATGGAAAGGAAAGTTAATTTTTGGGTGTAAATATTTAATCTAGAAATTTACCTTATCCTATTCTGGATAAGAGGTTAGGGTGCTGTGGGACACTAGAATGTTGTAATGACTTCTGGGGTCTGCAAAATATAGTGCTGAGCAATATCATGACTAGTAAAAGTGCAATAGCTCTACACTGATAAAGAAATAAGTGTCAAAAGAAAAAGAAATTATCAAGTTGAGGTGCCACTGTTAGAAAAAGAATGAAAAACACTACGTTAGATTATACAGCACCAAAGTAAAATCTGGATGGACTGTTCATTCAACAATTATTGTATACAAATAATAAATTTGCAATGTTTATAATTAAATTCATCTTTTCTATAATAATCTGAATTATTAATCAAATATTTTCATGTAAATCTCAATGTGTTAGTCTTAAATAAGAATTAGCTTTTAAAATTATTTTGCATATTTAAGTGAAAATAAGTGCATCAAAATGTTGGATTCATTGTTAGAATGTTAAATTGTCAGATTCATTTCCATTTCTTCTTTTTGTGTTTTATCTATTTACCTCACTTCATAGCATAATCCCAAATCACTTCATAGCAATGGCATAATCCCAAATCATTTTGGTGTTGTGGTGTAGTATTTTTCATAATTTAAGATTTGTTGACATTTCCACATAGTTAAAGGCTTGTGTTTCAAAAAAACTGTCAAAATCAAAGCTTGGTATATAGATGGTACTCCATACGTGAAATTGCACATAAGTTGAGTAGAAGTATGGTTGTCGTCATTTTGTTTTTGCAGATGAGAATAAGTATGGAAAGAACACCGGGAACAAATTTTTAGCCAATGCAAAGAGAGAGAGATGTGTTTTGTTGTGCCAGCAAGTTTCAGCTCTGCATTTAAAATGTTGAAAGAATGTGTTATAAATGGTTATCTTCAAACCATCCTCCCTAACTCAAAACCCTATTTGACTGACTAACACAAGTTGTGAGATTGGAATTTGCAAGAATAGTGATCTGGATTGTAAAGTAAAAGAATCATCTTTCTAGATGAAAAATGGTTTAATTTTGATGGTCCTGACAGACTCAAGTGTTAGCTAATGGCATAAATTTGAGAAAAGATGAGATGATATCAAAATAGAAAATGTGTTGGGATTACTAATGATTCTGTTAACTGTTTGCTGGAACAGGAAATGCAATGTTTTCTGTTCTGGAAAAATGAAGTCAAGATTAAAAACTTGTGTAGGAGTCTCCAAAAGTCAAATTTTTGAAGTCACAACAAAGAACAGGGATAGTACTCATTAATTTACAGTCTGATTTTAAATAATTTAAAAGATTTCAATAAATATGTATAGATTGTGCTCATATCATTTTGATAATCCATTTTCACTTATCTGTACAAAATAATTGAAAATAATTCTTGAGCATCTATTTATTAATACTATATTACAAGAATATGGTTAGCTCTGATAAATTCTTCATTATGCTTAACTTTTAAACTAAGGTGAGAATCTTGTAATGTTCATTAACATTTTGATGTGTGGTGTAGTGTTTTACATTTTAATACAGTAGCGCGTTTATCCGAAAGAATTCCAGTTGGCAAATTTAAATTTTCACTAGTGCTCTGTGGCGCTGCAATCTTTGGCTATATCTTGGGCTATTCTGATTTTTTTTTGTTGTGTGTGTTTTAGCTGGAAGCACTGGCACTTTTGTGTGGTGTTTTTCTGAGGACTGTGTGTGGTGCTGTAGTTTTTTATGAAGAGATGGTGTCTTTATTTTTAATGCTTCATTAATAATTTATATTTAATAGATGAAAAAAAGAGAAAAATGTGAATAAAGATATTTTAAAAACTTTAGGTTACAGTGGATTCCTATAGTGTAGTGATATGTTCTTAACTATAGGAAATTGCGGTATACAGATTCATGTTATAGGAGAGTTCAATGTATAACGTTACAATATTTGTTACTGTATAAAACCTTTCTGTAAACATGATTGTTTAGATATGATACTGTGACTATAGTGCCATCTGGTAACAGTATTTAAAATTAGTTATTCCAAATTTATAGCATTAAATCAAAGCCATAATAATAAATTTAGGATAGAATTTAAGATATTTGCAATTGTATACTGTTGTCCTCAGGACAGTGAAAAACCTAAAAAATGTTAAAATGCTTGTTTTTTATGGATAACTTTATTAACAAGCAGAAATAAAGTATATTACTGATTTAATTGCATTTTATATACTTAAAAAATGAAAAAAATAATTTGACTTATTTAAGCAAAATGAAAAACTGATGCATAAAAAAAAAATTATATAAATTTCCATGGTTCTAACGTTCTGTGTGGAATGTAACAAATCGTCTTTTTTCCTAAGCATAAGTGTACAATGCACTTCTGGCATACTACCATTGCAGTTAGAGTTCACAATGACCTCTTTCTGAAATAATGAGTCAGTGACCAACTTGATCTGTTTGCAAGTGTTTTTGTAGAATGGTTTTGAAGCATTTTTGTCGTCTTTTTTGGAATCCCTGTAAACATTTGATGCCTTCCTCTTTTTCTCCAAGGTTTTTTTCTTTTGCACAAGCTTTCTGCAACAGTTATTTTAAAAGTAAATAGATTTTTCTGTGAAATGCTGAATAATTATCAGTCTCTCTTATAGAGAAGCCAGGAGTTTACATGATTGCCTAAACAGCGAAAAAATTCATTGCCAGTTATTAGCCCTATTGGTTTTTTGCTTTAGTTGTAAAATTATTGTTACATTTTTTTAGAAATAATTCTTCATGGAATATGAGCAATGTTTTTAAATGTAATAATTGATTGACATAATTTTATTTTTCTAGGTTCCACCTAAATCTTCATTGCTTACTGGATTAAGTCTAAATGCACCTAGTCCATTATTGTCTCAGGTAAATGTAACATTTTCATATTTATTAGTTATGGCTTAATGTAATTCTTTATTTTACTTTTTATCTAATCCATATGCATTTTCTAGAGTAATTTATTGAATTGATGCTCACGCGCGCGCGCGCGCGACCTATATAATATCTTGTATCCTTCATATAAAACAGTAGTTATGTTCTGAAAAAGCAGTGTTATGTGAATCTGTACCATATGAAATAAATAAAGTTAGGTTCCAAAAATTAGTGACAAAAAAATAGTAGTATACTTTTGCTAAGAGAAATATGTTTATTAAAGCAATTGATAATTTATTTCCAACCAATAATTAACAGAAAATCACAGTTAAAAGTACTGTATTACATGTTAATTTTAGTTAAACAAGGGTGTTTTCTTTTTTTCAAATATAGAGTTTCATCATCTGACCTTTTTTATCGATCTTGTTCAGAAATATCAGCAATGTCTTCATTTTTCTTATTTTTATCATAAAAATTTTTTATGGATGATAAAGTAAAAGTCTTATTAATTGAAAATTTGTTCTAAGGGCTCTTGTTTTTCAGTTGCGTATCAAGCAATTTTTTCCAGAATTTATATTCAAATACCAAATTGTTTGATTTGGGAACAGTTCAAGTACCAAAATACCGGCGTATTTTGTTTGTCAATTTTCAAATAATTACGTACCTGTGGTTAAAAAAAAAGTTAATCACACTTACCTAAAAATGTTTAAATAAACTTTTCTAAATACAAAGATTAATCTATAAAACCAAAACACGATGACAGTCTGAATGGCTAATGTCTGAAAGCAATGTTGTGAATACCTGATAGGAAAGCTGGGACAGTACAATTTTATTTTCTTCCATCAGTTTTCAATGCACAAAACAAATTGAAAATTCCAATATTTTACAATCTATGGGCAAATTTGAGACAACACGTATGCTTACTTGAATAAAAAAAATATTGAATAATGAAGTTTGCACTTAAGAATTGTAAAATTTTGTATGGATGATTTCCTGATTTTTTTTTGAGCCATGTTAGAGAAAACCATATTATATGAGGGATATCTGTATAATAGTTTTATATGAAATATAGCTCCTTATTTTTCATAACAATTTTTGAAATAAAATTGTTGATGTTGAGAAGTAAAAGAAACCATGGTCATGGTTACAAATTGCACCTTACAGTGTTAGTTTGTGTAGTGGTTTATATTAATAGATTGAGTTATATTTTAATCTTAACTTCATAGGAAAAGTACATAGCAAGCAAGCAGTATAGTATGTATATCCGACATGCTATACTGCTTGCTTGCTTTTCTCCCAAAAACAATCAGTACAGTAGGGCAACAGATCTCACCTCATTCATTGCTTTTGGTTGTTATTCTCAGGTACCTTGTCAACAGGCTTCCCACATGTCACATTGTCTTAAACAAATAACCCTGTTTATTCTTGGTAATCTTGCAGGAAATGATTGGATTAGCAAGAGTCTACTGTATCATACATAACCATATTCGACCTGATATATCCTCACTTGAATATATTCTACAGTTTGAATAGTAAATACATTCAAGATGAAAATTCAGTTTAGATTTTCAGATTTTTTTCTTAACAGTTCAAGCTCCTTCATGTTGACTGTTGTATGTACTTGTTTGTGCTGTGTGCATAATTGCAAAAATAATTTTTGTCTTAAGATGTAAAAAATTTGTTTTAAAAATTGATATAAGTTAATTCTTAAATTTGTCTGAATGATAATTGTGACTAAAAAAATCAATTATCTCAACTGTTTAATTAACTGAAACTTTTGAAATTGGAATGTCATTATCTGAGAACACTAAGAGTAAAAATATGGTAATCTCAGACTGTTATAACTTTAAATCATTTCAAAGTTTAACATGTAAACTCAATTTTTTTCTTAGATTACCCGTAGTTTGCAAACTAGTTCAGTTTGTAGAGATATCGACTCTGCTGCTAAATTTATTGGAGCAGGAGCTGCTACTGTTGGTGTAGCTGGTTCGGGTATGTTTTCTTTTAATTATATAACTTTTTCTGTTTTGATTACAATTAATATGCATTTGATTTTTTTTATAGGTGCTGGAATTGGTAGCGTATTCGGAAGTTTAATAATTGGCTATGCCAGAAATCCTTCTCTTAAACAACAGCTATTCTCTTATGCCATTTTAGGATTTGCATTGTCTGAAGCTATGGGTTTGTTTTGTCTTATGATGGCTTTCTTACTGCTATTTGCTTTCTAATAGCAATTGTCATCAGTACTATAACTGGCCAATTTTCTCAACATTTTAAAGGACCAGTAGTTATATTCACTGCCACTTGGCTCATCGTGAATTAAATCAATATTTGGGGGGGAATATGTAGTGATTTAACAAGATTTACATTGGGATGTCTGCGGTTAACAGATGTCTATAATGAATCAGTGGTAGTGTTTCATTTATTGGGAAGAATTTATTTCCATAGATTAATGTTATGTAAAAATATAGAGAAATAAAATGAGATTTTTGAAAAGTGCTTTTCTGTGTTTAATAAAAACAAATTGCAAAATTATTTGGAAACTACTGGGTTAATGCACGTTTTATAGTGTGCCGTTGTTTTCAAAAACAAAAAATCAGCAACAAGTTGCTTAACTTTCCCAGCAACGTTTGAAACTGCGTGTATGGCACCAACTCTTATAATTGTAATAAGTTTTGTACTATTTTATAAAAAATATTGAGGGCCGGGATGGGTTTTATAAAAAAAAATTGTAAATGCTAATAACGAATGAAATCAAGTCCGACAGTACTGGAGATACGATTCCTCTTTAACTCTCCACACCTTCAACCTTTAATCACCAAAATTTAATAGCATTGATCCCTTAAACAAAAATCCCTGCAAGATTTCAGAAATTTCCGATGAAAAGAAAAGTTAATTAAGCTTCAAAGAGAGCAAAATGGTGCCCCCATACATACAGGAATTACCTCCGAATTTGCATTTCTCGACGTTTTAAGGTTCCGAATTAAAAATCGGGAGGCAGTTTTTTTGGACCGCCATTCCTCTTGTATATAGCAGCTGTTATATACAAGAGTTCATTCAAGAAAATTGTCATTTCAAGCACTTTCAACCGATTGGACAGGTCGGATTCCTGCTGAATAAAACTGGCTGTTTTGGTTGAAAGAACTGAAAATGTAATTTTCCTATTGCCTAACTGCTTTCCATCCAAAAAATTTTTGCGTGGAGCGGAAGAGAGTAGTTGGATGAAATATATGGGAGAACCAGCCGAGATCAAGCAGTTCGAGTTAACTAGATGTCCAACCCGCGGGTCGCATGCGGCCCTTTTAATTAAAACAGTTATATTGATTTTTTTATGAAATTTCACGTGTATAATTAAATCCATTAATATGATGTATAACACCTTATCACGTACTGCACACTCAGAAATTAAAACAGTATTGAATACTTTTTAACAAATCTTTAAAATAACTACTGGTTTTTGAATAAAAATCCCAAAATAAGTACATATTATGACTAATTGTAATGAACTGTCACTTGTAAATAAAGTACTTATTTTTTTGTTTAAAAAAAATGTATTTAATTAAAAAATCAAATGGAGGGTAATATGGAATAGGTAGTTTAAACCATTGAAAAACTAATTAACTTCATAAAACAGTTATTTTTAACTATAAAAATCATATTTTTAAGATGTGCATGTCATTCCTGTTTCGAGTCTGTCTACAAAAATCACAGATATAATTCCTCTGCTCCGGTACAATCAAGGTGAGCCCACAGAGAACAGCTGAAGCATTGAATCCAAATTTTCCCTCGTTCATCTTCGGAGAATTTTCCGTTACAGAAGATACATTCAGCGTCTTCGTTTTCTGGTTCTTTAGTTGATGGCATAAAGTCCATTACAGACGATTCATCGCTGCTAACACTGGAGTCATCTCTAGTAGGTTTAGGTCTAGAAGGTCTGTCTAAGTTTAATTTCTTAACAGGTGATCTTTCAATGTTCGATTTCTTTTGTTGTTTTGAAGCTTCTGTTTCCTTCTTTTTGTCCTTTTCTTTCAGTTTATCCATTTACCCTAGTACTGTATTCCATAATACCCGACGCGCCATCTTGGAAAATTAACCTTTAAACTGATGGACAAAACATTGTCAACTAAAAAATGACTAGAGTATAACAAACTACAATTCTTTTAGTGTGCAATATGCTTAACATCAATGTTCAAGTCACATGTGTACTAGTAGGTTAAAATGTTTGAAAACTTGCCTGCAAAAACTTGAAAATCAGAAAAGAGACTGTTCTGTAGCGAGTGGTACGACTACAACAAGCGGTAAACTCACTGCACTGCATCGTGGGAATCTTTCTTGAGTAGTTAATTATATTCCAGTAGCGTGCCGTGGCATTTCATGATAGGGAAGCTGTGTTTCTATAAGAAGCCGACTTCCAGGGGCGATCAGTTAATTCTTTAAATGCATTTAATAGATTATTTATCTAACGTAATTAATAAATAGTTATTAATAAAGTTCAATATAATTACCTCTGCTATTAGATTCAATAGATTTCCTATGCCCTCTAAATGCCGATTCTTGCTTTGATATAACATCTATTAATTTAAATATATCTATTAGCAGTAAGTATCTCGTTATAATTTTTAATATTTATTTTATATTATTTACTAATGTTAAATTCTATTTAGCTTCGATTTCCAAATTGCTTCAAATACGAAAGAATCGACGATTTTTCGTGTCTTTTGCCAGCTAAATTGTCAAAGCCATTCTTATTTCACACACTAATTTCATTTGAAAATAGTAGGCGAGCCAATGAAACAATTTTTGTATTTACAGAGCCATTTTATCGTGAAAATGTCGAACTAATTTTTTTTATTGAAGTGTTTATACTGTATTTAACTTAGGCATTGGCCTTTCTCTTTTAATAATGTTTTCTATTTCATTATATGATCTCGAGCCAAAACTTTTTAAAATAAATTTTCAATATCGCAATAACATTCTGAATCGCTAGCCATGATATAAGGGCTAAAATTAGAAATAAAATTATAAAAACTTACTTGGTGAAATAAAATGTGTGGTTAATATACATACCTGGTACAAAATATTCTTCAATTGTATGAATGTACTTTTAAAGAAAATTATAATTAAATATAGCTTTGTAAAGAAACGTACATAAAAATAACATAAAATCTTTACTTTTTAAATCTTAACCACTTAGTCAAATAGCTCCCTACCAGTGGAATCCGAGACGGTCCTGCTAGGTGCGCGGTGCGTGCATGCAAGCGGGCTGCCAAATCCCGAGGATGCCGATATCGGTTAATGTCAAATGCGTCTTTTGTAGCATCACTAGTATATCTCAAAGGACGCGACAGGATCGTTGTAAATTTTAAACATTTCTCACCATAGCTGTAAAAATCTAAATTTGTTAAACTTAATAGTCATTTGTTTTCTAACTACAGTAGAGCGTCGTTTATCTGAATCAATAGGGACTGAGGTCGTTCGGATAACTTATTTTTCGGATAACCGATTATGTACGAAAAAATATATTAACCTATCCCGTGTTGAAATTTTTCTCCGTTTCGTGTCGCTTCGTGTTGAATGTTCGTCGATGTTAAGCCTAACGTATACTTTTTAAAATAATAATCGTGACTATTGTATCGTTAAAAATTATTTCTTTATTTCTTACAAACAAAAATAAATATACTGTATTGAAAAATATAAAAACCAAAAAATATATACTTTAGAAGATGATCTAGTATCAAAAACGTTCGATTCAGCAGGACACACAGTCCTCAGAAAAACACCACACAAAAGTGCCAGTGCTGCCAGCTAAAAAACACACACCAACAAAAAAATATTGGAGTAGCCCAAGATATAGCCAAAGATTGTAGCGCCACAGCACTAGCGAAAATTTAAATTTGCCGACTGGAATGCTTTCGGATAACCGACTTTCGGATAAACGACGCTCTACTGTAATTCGTTTTATGACCAGGTGTCCACGGAAATTTCCAAAATGTACAACTTTTCGGTCACTCTCGTTGAACTGGAAGAATTTCTGTTTATATTACGTCTAATATTACGAAGAAATCAGTCCCACTGTACTCAGCTAGAGATTGGGTTGGTTAAGCTTTTAAGTAATATTCCGGCTCTTTCAGCAGGGTTTTATTTATGTCCCTAATTCCCTAATCTCTTAATTATTTAAGTAGAAATAAGTTGAAATCGGTTAATTTGTACTCGAATATTTGTAGTCTTGGGAAAAAAGTGAAAAGACAAATTTTTATGACAACGGATATATAAATCGTAAATTTAAGGAAATTAAATTCTAGAGATTTTTCTGTACCTCGTGCATCTCTCTCATTCATTAAATTTAGTCGTAAATGATGCTGTCGAAGTAATAGTTAATTTTTTAACATTATATAAGAATTGTACATGTTTTTTTCTGCATCCCCTTAAATATGGGATATACGAAATCGTAATATCATCGGTTCAACATTGAAATCTGCGAGTAATATAAAATCGGAAAGCGAAATAAAAATATCAAATGGATTTTTTAAAACTCCTAAAAACTATACAGAACTATCATAAAAACACACCAGTAAATTCTTATCGGTTGGGTTAAGTTATAAATCTACTCGTGATTCGCGTAATCGGGCGAGGGTGGCCAAATATCTAGCAAGCAGACGGCTAACAACCCGGAACTGGTCCTGGATAGAATTGGATGCGGTATACGTGTAGGCTTCCACCCGAGGTCGTAGGCTTCCACCGGCTAAACCGGGTGAGTTCGGTGCTCTGTAAAGCGTGTGCGCGAATAGGGCTTTTTAGATGCTGACAATACAGCGCTTCCACTCCGAATACAGCCACTTCCACTAATATTCGAATATACAATAGCGATCTTATCTTTTTTTTTTTCACATGTAGTATAGAAATTTGTAATAAGATACATAATGCGGCTATAATAAAATATTGTGCGATTATTTTCATATAATTAAAATTAATATGTATTTATTTTTTTAGAAAATACAAGGGAAGCGGCGTATCAACCGCTTCCAATGACGGCACGCCACTGTTATATTCCCTCGTAATAGCAGCAAAAAACAGAGCTGAAACCTCTGTATTCCATATTTCCTGGCTAATCCATAATACCCTCCTCTCCTCTATATGTATTTAATAAGTATGTTTACAACAAATATTTTTAAATTGGTGTTTTGGTATAATGAAATTGTTTTTTCTTAAATTTGCCATATATGTGTAATAAATGTCAAACAATAGACACATTCCTAAGTACAACTGTCCCCTGTGCTTCCAATAAATAATAAATTTGATTGTTTTCCTTAACCTACGGTTAAGTTGCGCCACCTAGCTCTCGCAGTGTGTGGCGCGGGGAAACTATAGTTCCCGATTTCAAAAATCAATTTTTCAAAAGTCATAGTATTTTTCGCGATTTTTTCATATCAGATGTTTGTGGGCATGTGTTTTTGATGTATTAATCAACAAAACTACTTTAAATATATCGTTATTTATTT